TCTTAATATCAACACTGCTTCCTTTTTATTGAATCAAAAGGCAAAAAACAACAAGCAAATGACTTGATGCGTTAGTCGTCGTTTTGAAGTGCAGTGTTTCCTGCTTTGAAACTGAAATGAGCCACTCTTGGAGGTTACTTGACAAAAATATTCAAAAACATTTCGAGGAATATTCCAAAGCCCTAACCTCCTCCAATGTCCTTCAAATCAAAAGGAAAATCTTTGGCCGCGCGCTAAATGTGGACGCTTTTTGGACGCCAGACCGTACTTTCATTACGCAAAAAAAGAGGTAAAGGAGAACTCGCTAAGTAGTAAGGTCGATTATTTTAAATACAGCAATTAACTAGAAAACTACTATGTAAAAAGATATTTTGAGTCCTAGGTACTTTAAACTAAAACACAAATTTACAAACGAAACTTTAAAATACAGCAAGAGAAAAGAACGAATCAACTCATCGAATACAGCGCACATTTACCGGTGGGTTACTTTGCACTAGTTGCAACTTCAACCGTGATTTACGAATTAATCACTGCTTTCAAAAGTGAAATAAAACTAACTGCGAAAGCTGCTGCAAACGATCAATTTTCAACTTTTAATATTAGGACAAATACATTACGCACCATTTTTACATCAAAACATTCCAAACGAGCAATGAAAAATTATAACAAGGTAAAAGGAAAACAAAAAACAAAAAACCTAAAGTGCCAACTAAGTGGTGTTTGGATCTTTCACAAGATCTTTTACACAAAAAATATACCCGAAGTTTTACACTCTTCACCTCGTAAAATAAAAGACTTCATTGAGTAAACTACATAGAAACGTGTTCCGAAAAGCATTATGTCCAGTCAACTCAGTGGGTTAAAGACAAGTCGGTGGAAGTAATGTCAACAGAAGTTTTGGGCATGAGTCCGAGTTTTTGCGTCACTTTTTCCGAGGTTTGGCTCTTTATCGCTAAGTTTCAGGCACAATTTCGTAAAAAAATCATTAAGAACCAATTAGAGTATCTTACTCCGTGTCTGTTGGTAGTAATTTTGGCGGTTTTGAAGCATTTTAAAAAACAGCAACTTATTTTAGTTCTGGAAACAAGTGGCAAAGTACAAGCGTACCTGTGCTGGAATATCATGTGATGAAAAGTAGGAGGTGAAAGGCCATCATATCGACAAGAAACACTTACTAACACGACAGTGCCTTGTCTTTGTCGAAAAATTCAAATATAAATTTACCGCTATTGGGAGAAAAATTTTGGAGAACTTAACTGATGAACTAAATGTAATTGATTTGAAATTGTTAAAAATACATACGCTTTTTGGAACATTTTTTACAATTTGGTGTTTGTTGTCGCACAGTGGCTTATTGTTGAGAATAGTACAGTTATGATCGGTTTTATAGACGGCACTTAGTCTGATAAGAAATATAAAACTTGCGTGAAGCACCATATGCCAAAAAGACCCTTTCTACAAAGATCAGTTAATCACTCGCGGACGAACGACTAAGAGAAATAGGTGACTACTCCCTTGAGCAGACAACATCCTAAAGTCTTATTTCACTAGAAGGAAAAATCAATTTATTCGGAAAAGTGAACGTAGAACAAACCGAGAGAGTCAGTTTGTAATACTCCTTTCGTTTATTAAATGTTTTTTTGGTGTTTGTTTTCTGGAATAGCTCTTTTTGTTTCTTTTTCATGGATAAATTTTTAATAATGTTAGGTTTTATACACCACAAATCGCTCGCACTGTTTCACACATAACTATCTGGATCTTTCGTGTTTCTTTTTGTAACTTTTTTGCCGCCTATCCACACGTAAGTTTAATTCGATAACATTGACTAAGTTGCAACAACAACAATAACAATCTTCATTTGTACTCCCTTACCCGTGTCAAGTTAAAAAACGATATTGAAAATAAATGGAGTACTGGCTGTCTGGAATAGTTTTTTTTTTTCTAAAAACTGTCAATCTTCCGACTGATTTTTTTTTCCAATAATCATTCCATAAATCAGATCCCTCATAAGATTTAAAATTACTCTTTAGTGTAATCGACAGCTAAGAGTGTCTGGGTGTTCTTTTTCCGAGTAGGTTGTCCTCGAATTTACGACAAATTCTTATTTAATTTTGTGTATTTCACCAGAGTCTGCATACAATATATATTTAACAAATGGTAAACACCACAGCGTACACTATTGAGTTATGGATGCACGCGGGAGGTTGCTAAGCACGAAAGAAGCGTAAGAGTCGCTCGAGGCGATAGCCGAGAGTGACTCTAGCTTCTGGAGTGCTTAGCAAACCTCCCAAGTGCATCCATAACTCAATAGTGTATGCTGTGGTGTTTACCATTTGTTTTATAACATAACATTGATACATTGTAGCTAAAGAGTTCCCTTTTATTTAACAAATCTTACGTGACCAGAAAAAACAAGCGTGCGCGGAAAAATAGTCTTTGTATTTTCTCACGTCAGCAGCGTACATCCATGGGCAAATGGGGGACGCTAAATTGACCAATCAGAGCGCGCGCTTTACTCTGGTTATGTTATAAATTTATATATAGTATACTTATATATATTGGCTGATCTTTATGAACACATTGGGAGATTAAACAACTTCATATCATTGCCTCTCACCTCGGTCGACTTTGCCAACAAGTACGTAGAATACCATAATGAGAAATTGGGATATTCTGAGCCAAACACTGATTATAAACTTGGTGAGATGGAGCGACTATCTGATTGTTGTACAGCTGTCCAGGAGGTCATATCTAGCCCCCACGTTGCGTTTCCTGATTAGTGTGTTAGACCCAGCCAGCGCTGTCTAGCTTTGAACTTGTATACCTTCACCAAATTGATCAAAAATAGTAAGTATATTTGCGATCACAACAGGAACAACATAGCTCCTGTTTGGGTTTTGCTAATAGTGTTCTTGTTTCGGTTTGTCTAGTGGCCTTGGTTTAGACTAAAAACATAGTTCCTTTTTGTGTTTTTTGTTTTCGATAATCGGCTTTTAATCGCGTAGAATTTCAAGTGCTTTTTGTTCACTTGTAGGAACCCTGTGCAAATAATTGGGTTGGTAATTTTACAGAGAGGTTAAATCCTCCAAGATCGACAGGATATAACCCAAACATGTTCTCTGATAAAGTACTTAAGGACTTGTATTAAACTTGATTTAGTTATTTATCAGTTAACTGAATGAAAAAGATAAACCAGATGAGAAGTCTCGGTCCTTCTTGCATGAGCGAGTGTTCTAAAGCCAACTCCCCGAAGTTGGTAGTTGGTGGAGGACCCAGCCGGTGACTTGCTATTTCAATTTTACAGGGATAAGTCAGTTGAATGTGAATCTCATGGAACATACTCGATGGTAGATTCTGAGAAGAGTGGCAGTGACACCATAAGATGTTCAGGACATTTCGCTAAGGTTGCCTTCATTCCGACAAAACGGATGTGGCATGAGAAATTTTACACTACCAGAGGAGAAACCTTTAATTCACCGCTGTCTAAACTTATCGTTCTAGTAGTTGCAGAAAAAAATATCTTCCCCCAAGGCTTTCTATCCATCATAATCTTTTCAATATATTCCTGGAGTATTTTCCAGTAGTTGGCTGTTTACTTGAGTGGGAAATTGATGATGTGGCAGAGTTTATTTAAATATGTAGTTATTTTATGATTTACGAGTCTTTTCTTGCGCATCTTTTGCGACCGTCACCTGCTGACAGCAATGGGTGACGTTCTGATCAATTTTGTCATATTTTACCAACACTAATAGGGAAGGCTACGTTCATAAAGCTTGTGACCTTGCAAGATTAATCCCATTTTTATTTTCGATAACCTGTGAAGACAAGATCTGCCACGAAATTCCAGCCTGTAAGGGAGGAGCGTGACTCGATGCCTGATGATGGAAAAGTATACGAGTAGCGTACTTAACTTTCTTGCCTTGCGGAGGTCGTTTATATTCCATTTGATAGATATTTTTATCTGAAAAAAAGATAGATTTGATGGATAGTTAGTTAAGATATTATGTTAACTTTTATTCAGTACAAAAAAGCCCAACTTTAATCATTTACATTTGATCCTAAACCGTTTCTCCCATTTTAGCTTTGCGATTGATAATTTCATAATCGTCTCGTGTTTCATGATTTTGATTTATATCTTACTTTCACTTTAGTATTTCCTTTTTGATTTCAATCGCATCGAGGGCGGACGATGTTTGTACTAAGTGGGAAAGAATGTTGTGAAGTTAGTTGTCCAGGAGGTAGATCTAGCCCCCATGTTGCGTTTCCTGATTAGTGTGCTTCGCCCAGCTGTTTTGCTGCAGCTGCCTAACCAATAAAGTAATTAAGTACATGTATTAGACTTGATTTAGTTAGTTGATAAGTGTGAGTTTTTTTACCCACACGTGCTTGGAAAATACCTCAAAAAAATATAATATGGAACAATTTTAAGGAAAGAGTGTCTTGAATACCTATCACTTTTGTCATGCCCAGTAGATTCAAGTGCAGAAGTATAGAACAACATAAAAATGCAGCAACTTAAAATAGCGAACAAAGTTTTCATGACAACTAGAAAAAAGGTTTGAAAATGCTGTCTTTAAGTTACTTTGTTGTTTGTCTAGTAGGGTGAGTCTGTTTAGGTCTATCAATAACACAAAGGTCTCATAACATTATATTTTATGGGATAGAGGCGAGGTATATATAATTCACCATACTTAGTGATGTTGTCGTACTATGGCACTTAGAACTTTGCTCTCTCGAGAAAATGCTCTAGACGGTAGGTACTATAACTGACAAGTCTCCTAAAGCTCAATAGTAAATCATCACAGGTACTGACTCGGAGGTCATAGGTCTACTCTTAATCGCTGGGCCACTCCGAATTGATTTCCCGAGTAGCCCCTAGTGCCCAACTGAGGATATAATCATTTTCTTCAACCACCAGGACTAAAAGATTCCATTTCGTCATTTCTGTTACTGCAGCTTATGCGGAATTATTCTTTGCCATTTAAGCTTTCGTTTTTCAGAAAACACCCAAGAACATTTCTTCTGATGTAGCAGATGTCCTCAATGCGTCCCGTTTCTCGAAGCATTTCGAGTTCCAACTGCTAGAGCCTGGAAACCCAGCTCCCTTTGATGAGGTGTACATAGAAGCAATTCTGTTTGCTTTTTGTGCGTCACACAAACTGGCGCCCGGAGCGTGTTGCCCCAAACCGACCAAACCTGCTGAGCAGGAAAACGGCTGTTTCCCGAAAAGTGCGAAAACGGATGCTGGGGCTCGCTACTGTTAAACGTCGTTTTTAGTATTCGAGGAAAACTGGAGGCAGGATTGTAAGGATCTTGCAGATGATAAGAAACTAAATTTCCAATATGCTCTCTCTTTGTATCAACTGCAATTACAGAGGTCCACAATGCTTAATAAACGTAACAATTATAGTTATGGTGGATTTGGTTCTATTTAGCGCTGAGGCACTGGCGTTTCTTCACCAGCGAGAAAGTTTGATCAGGTAGCGGAAACACCCTTTTGACGTGGAACAGGGCGTGGTATGTTACATGGATCAAAAGCAACGAGCGACGAAAAATCGATATCCAAAGTGAATCTCAAGATAAGTTACGGTTCAAGATTTAAGTTCTCGAGGTCTCTCTGTTATATTTGTCTAAAAGCTCATTGATTTGTATTTCGCTACATATTTTAACACGGTACGCTTAAACAGAGCATGCAGATGCTCGTGAATTACGCCGGAGAAGCTAACTCTGTTTATTTAAACAAAACCACTAAATCTCAGCAAAATAAGAAAAAGAGATTTCTTAACTACATGGGTGTGGTTAATTGTGACCTCGGAAACAAATGACTTTAAGTTCGAAATCGTCTAACACTTTCAAAATTCAGGGAAGAATAGTTGCAATTCCCCATTGAAACTCGCTAAGTTTATAATCAGCCTTCAGCTTGACATCCTCCTTCGTTTTTTGATGGAACAAGACTAACCGAAGAGCTCAATGTCGATTATTTTGAAACCGCCTTTTAAAGTGGGAAAACTCATTTGAATTACAAATACTTTTCAAAATTAACATTCATAGTTGTGCTTGGTCTTGCACGTGGAGAGAGCTTACGAACTACAAGAAATTTCAGCGTCTTTTCCAACTTTTATGGATTCAAGAAACACATTATTTTGGCTTTATTACCTTGGATATTGTCAGTTTTGTCAAGGTCGGCGAGTGTTTCGTATGCTGAATGGAATGGTTAAGATTCGACGACGAGGATTCATGACTTCAACTTTTCCAAGACGCTTCTTCAGGTAAATAACCTTTGTACAGATATATTTTGGATGGAAATGCAACGTTCATGTTTATTCATTGTTGCTCGAGTAAAATTGATTTATAAAGTCGAATGTAAGAGGGGAGGGCAAGTTCACGTAATACAGAATAAGACATATCCTCTATGGCAGCTGCCAAGACAGTTTTTTGATCGTGTCGTAAGCATAAACGCCGAGAAATTCGTTACTATTGTTGCACCTATCGTTTAATTTCCGTTCATTTTTATATTAATCTGTCGTACTATGCACACTTTTTGTGCTGACAATGTTGCGGCCTGAAGTTTATTTTGAACGCGCTCGTTATTTCCCCTCCTTCCCGCCAAATGAAAGAGGTGAAACGTGTAACGTGGAATCATGTTTTCTGAATATCAGAGAATTGATTCCCATTCTTTATTTAGAGACCGCAGATAACAGAACTTGCTGTCATTTGTATAATCAGAGAAACCTAACATAATACTTTCGGGTAACCTAGTTACACCCCTAGTCATTTCATGCTATAGAAGACGAGCTAAGCTTAATATCCATTGTAAAATGTAGTTGCTATTATCTTGTCTTTAAACTCTAATATTAAGCGATATTTGGGTACGGTTGAGCATGATATCCTGAATTATCAATGTCGAGGGTCTGAGTTATCTGCCGAGGCCGAAGGCTGGGGCAGACAACACAGACACGAGGTTTGACAATTAATTCATGATATCATGCAAAACCGAATTTAATGATCGTGTTATTATACACTATTAAACAATCTGAAAAAGAAAACACTTCTCTCTGAGTTTGCAAAAGTTGGAGAACGCTACACGGACGAGAGGTTTAGAGACTAGGCAGACTTTGAACTGAACACGATAACCAAATATATATTTGCTGCAGATACTGGGTTATCAAGTCGACTTCACAGGCTATTATATATTGGCTGTAAGCTCTCGACCCATCAAACTTTTCATATTAATTCTAAAATGTGATATTGACATTAATCACTTGTATGGAAAATAATTATCCTTAATTTAGGTGCACACCGGTGTACATGAATTAAATGCATTTTTCTTGTTTTCTCTTTCATTAGGGAAGCTTCAAGCGCAAGTTTAAAATATATGCATGTCAAGAAAGTTCAGGAACACACAAAAAAACAAAA